AATTTAAATTTTAATGTAGTTAACGGATCATAAAATTAAAAAAATAACTACTAACATGATAACACTATTTTAGATGTATTAAGAAAAGTTCTGAATTGGCTTCCGTTATTTTCGCGAGGTATCTGAAAAGCAGTTCTAGAGAAACCAATTATTATGGATTGAAATTGAACACAAGAAGTGGACGCAATTCCATTAGGACCGTACCCTTTTGTTTTCTTGTAGTATCTATCCATTCTATGCATTAAAATTAAAATCCCATGTCTCAAAGCAAACAAGGTTGTTTTACATCACTGCTTATGCAAACATCAGAGAATTACAGGCTAAATACTATTCTTTCGTAAATCTTGTTATTAAATTCAAAATAAAATGTTAACATAACAATTAACACCTATTTATTCTTAATCTATTAAATATAAAAATTATCTCTTAATCTTTAATAATTTTTTTGTCAAATCTCTTAATATTTAATTTTTCTTGTCAAAAAATTAGTAAAAAAAACTTTACACTTTTAATATTTTTTTGCTTTTTCTAAAAAAATCTTAGATAATCAATTTTGCAATGCCTAAAATTAGTTTTAAATATTTATTTTAATTACCAATATCTATTTTTTTTAATAAAATATTAAAACTTCACCTTTAACTCATAATTTTTTATTTAATCAAATTTGTTTATTTTATTTTGGCATTTGCTATATAAATGTTTCGATGTATTTCTAAATTTATTACACTTTCTTTAGATGTGTTTTGTTATATATTTTTTCCCACAAATACAACTTTTTAATTATTTGCTAATTGCCAAAACTTTCAGTGGACAATATATTTCACATTGAGCATGACAAGTTTGATTGTAGGCACAAATTTACAACCTTACAACTCTATGTTACTTCATTTGGTCTTTTTAGTTGTCATTCTTTGTTAACTTTATGTTAATTAATTTAATGATTTTATATAACAAAATTTTTTTTGATTTAAGTGAAATATTTGACATGCTTTTAGAAAGGAAAAAATTTTCAATTGTCATATATTTGTTATTTAAAATTACTAAATTAAATTTTTCATAAAACTCAAATTAGTACAACTAAAACAAATAAAAAAGTAATATTTTAAATGCAAATTTAATTTAAGTATCTACAAATTTGGCCCCCCCTACCTCAAATTCTAGCTCCACCACTACATCTGCAAGGTGATTATTAGGTTCAATATTATTGTCAATTTAACCATTTAACCATGGACTAAACCCCACTTCAAATATTAGACTAAATAGAAAGAGGGATAGATTTTATCATAGGCAAAGACCTAAGTCTAACCGTAATCTCCTTTCAGTGAAGGTAAAAATTCTTGAGTTTCAAATGTATGTTATATAGGTAAAGTTAAAGAATTAGATATGGTTGCATCTTGATTAGAAGCATTTTATATGCTTTAATCTATTATTTTAACCTTGATTTTGTTGCTATTTGAATGGATAGATGTGATTTTCAATAAATTTTATATAATTTTCATTCTTTAAATAGAAAAGGACTTGAATGCATAATAATAAAACTTTCTAGACTTAATTGAATATCTTTTGAAAGTTGAGGAATTGAATTGTGAGGTTAAAGGTTGCTTAAAAAACCTAAATGAATGAATTCAAATACATGGGATCAAAATATCATTGTATGGAAGCTGAAAGACCAGATTTGCCATTTTACCATTGAAGAAAGTGTGAGAAGAACTCGACATTGGTTCGGTGTCGACATCTAAGTTTCAGTGCCGACACTTTGTGTTAAGCCTTTGAGTAATAGGCACTGGGTAAAATAAACAGTAGTACTGATGCCTAATTTCCTATAGTATTGGTGTCACACTCTAAGCATTTTCAGTTTTTCCCTAGATTCTTTAAATTTATAAGTACTCATTAAAAATCAAATTAAGAAGATTTTTAACACAAAAAGAGATATGGCAACGAAGAATTTAACATTAATAAATTACATATTTTTGCTAATAATTTGCAACAATCAATTAATAACAAAGTGTTAGAAAATAAAATCTTAAATACTCTATAACATTGAAATAATAAACTTGTAATATATCAATAGCGGGATTGACAAAGCTAAGATTATTCACGCTTGCCACTCCTTTATCATTCATTAAAAAAATGTAGTCCAAGCTTGTGCTTATTTTCATCGGACCTTATGCTGAAGATGCCGCTAAATGTTAGCATCACCCATTAACATCAAGAATATGTAATTTTATTAACCTCTTTTTGGCCAACTAACAAAACAACTACACCAAATATCTATTTGAACATAAGTTCTGCTACGAATTCATCTAT